TTGTTACTGGAAAGACATCAGTTGTACTTCCCTTTCCCTCTTGGCCCCAGTGCCTTCTCCCTTCTGAGCTCAGCTCCCAAATCCAGCCCACACATATTAAGGAAGCTGATTGGGTGCCAAGTTTAAAAAAAAATCTGTTTTCAGTTTGAAATACCAAAGAAACCAAAATGACAATGCAGTATCTTTCCTCTCAACAAATTTCCCTAATTCTCTTCCCCAATAATTTTGGTGATAAGATCTACACAGAGAAAGGTCACCATGAATCAGCTTCTTTGGGTACTGACACTAGTTACCATTTTTAATTCCATTATCTGCTGGTATAACTCAGTACCCCTAGTATGGAAAAAAATAGAATAAAGAATTAGAGTAAGTGGTTCCCCAGTTCATCTTGATTTACTTCAATTGTCCACAGGATCACAGATCTTAGAAATATAAGGGATCTCAGAGACCCCTTAGTCCAATCTTCTCATTTTACAATTGAGAAAATTGAGTCTCAGGCAGATTAATTGACTTGCCCATGGTCAAACAAGTAGCAAACAATAGAGGCAGTGTTGTTACTCATGCCCTTTGACTCAAAAGTGAGTGCTCTTTCAAACATGGTACCTTTTCTGTGCCTCAGTTTCTCCAGCTATGAAATAGAATGCTAAGACATGTATTTGAAGTATGTTTTAGTAGTGCATTCCCTTATACATCCCGAATTCTTCCCCAAGTGAATTTCTTGATGCTTACACCTGTCAGAAGCTGCTCTTGTAAACCAAACCTGTGACTTCTACAAACCTCCTACAAGCAGAGAACGCATATAGACTTGTTCTCTCACATCATTTCTTCTGCAGTCATGGATTTTACAAACAAGAGGGCAGTTATAAACCCTTTTGCCTAGCAGCAGCTAATGTTTTTATAGTGTTATAAGGCTTGCAAACTTTGTAGTTGTTGTTCAGTTGATTCATTTGTGTTTGCCTCTTTGTGACCCCATTGGGATTTTCTCAGAAAAGATACTAGAGTGGTTTGCCATTTCCTTCTCCAGTTCATTTTTACAGATAAGGAAACTGAAGCTGATGTGGTTAAGTGACTTGCCCAGGGTCACACAGCTAATACATGTTTGAATCCAGATTTGAACTCAGGTCTTCCTGACGCCAGACATGGCATTCTATCCACTGCACCACCTACCTGCCCTAGAGCTCACATACCAATGTAGATCCAGGTCTTCTTGGCTCATTGAATGCTATACCCAATGTCCTATACTACCTCCCATATTTTGGACATGAGGAAATGACCATCCTAAGAAAAACAAAAGGGTAAGGTAAACAAAGTTAATTCCCAAACCAGCCCTAATCAGGATCCTGACCAATTCCAAGTCTGGAGAATGAAAGTCAATGATGTATAAAGAGGCAGGGTGGGTGAAGAGGGGGTAAGATTAAAGTGTTCTGATTTGGGGAAATCCCATCTTGACCTGCCCTACATTTTATTAGTTTCATTTGATAAAAGCAAAGGGCCTGGTTAATGGAACATTTTCATAGAGTTACTGGATAAGTGTCCCA